CTGTGATCCTGACCTTGCTGAAAAGCTCAGTGCCATTGACAATCAGCTCTCTGCAATCAAAGATCTTCTCACTGCCACTCAGTCTACTGTTGGTGACATTCATGCTATCTCCAAAGAAATAGCGTCTGATGTTTCCAAGATAAGAATTGCAGTTCTATGAGTGAGGGAAAAATGTTACAAATCCATAACGGTACTATTTCGGGGCCGAGCATACTCAGCCTCGGTATGCATCATGCTTTGTCTTCGACCTTGGGTCCGGTCCCCCGAACTCGAACTTGATCTCACCTGAACTCGAGCTTTGAACGATCTCTCGAGCCTATAGATCGAAGGCATACGATCTCGACCATATACAAATAGTCCTCGCATTTCTTAGAGTAAGACGATAAGAAACGATTTGGACCTCGATTCCCCGGAGTCTATAATGATGATGTCATTCCCGTGACGTAGGCGCCCGAAGTGGCTGAGATGTCCCGCCGGTCCGTTTCCCCAAAACATTAAATGAACGCCAGTATTGGTCGGCTACTTAGCTTCTTCAATATGCTTGAGTGACTTTCATAAATAGGCCAACTTCCCAATTTTACAAACTTTACTTCTCATATTGTTTTCGAAATCTCATTAGCTTCTTCAACTTTCTGGGTTTTCCCTTCTCTTCAATTCGTCCTTACTTCACCATAAACCCTTTCTCTTCTCTTGAACTTTTACACTATAATGGCTAAAACATCTAAATCCTTCCCAAAAAAGAAAAAGCCTTTTCATCATCGCGGCCAGCCAAAAGCAAAACGGTGGTGCCACCCCGTATCGAGGAATGCATTCCCCCGCCGTGTGAAATAACGTCTGATTTCAAAGTTGAAAAACCTATATCGACACCAGGCCGATGTGAGCCCATGTCTCGATATGTCTGCTTGATACCAAGATGAGCTTGAGCAGGTAAAGAAGGACTGCAACTGGGATAACAAAGATGTGGTGATTCCCTCCCCAGAAGAGGATATCACTACCCATTAAGTGGGGTACTTAAGCGTGTATACCTACCCATTCACGCTGGGCCCTGCAAATCCAGCTCTGGCTCTCTGATGCAATCGAATAAGGAAGACCGAGAAATCACACAAGCCAATACCCGACTGGGCTCCAAAATATCCAACCTCACGAACCGATTGGCCAAGGCCTGAACATCCACTGCAAGAGGTCTCTCCCCAAGTGGAATATATGCCAAACTCCCCATACTCACTACCTTTCGGCTCAACGCAAGTTAGAATAGGTACATTGTGTCAATTATGACTTGTGTGCAAAATTTAAGGTCAATCAGAGTTGGTTTGATAGGTTTCGACATTGATTGTAGAAGTTGGAAATCCATTAGTTTCATTAGGCTTGAATTGAGGTGTGACTCGTGTTTTGATGTTGTTTGATGTGATTTGAGGCTTCGACTAAGTTCGTATCGTGTTTTAGGACTTGTTGGTGGGTTTGGATGGGTCCCAAGGGCCTCGGGTGAGATTCGGATTGAAAGCAAATTGAAATTTGGACTTAGAGGGATGTTGTTGCTATTGAAGATCTCGTGTCATCGCACCTGTGGTGGGCCTGGTCGCAGGCGCGATGAGAGGATCGCAGGAGCGAAATGCACTTGGGCTTGGCAGGAATCGCAGATGCGAGGGGTTGTCCGCATCTGTGAGCATGCAGGTGCGGGAGTTTGGGTCACAGAAGCGAAATTGGCCAGAATGACCTGGGGGCACAGAAGCGGACTTTGTCTGCAGGTGCGTGTGCGCAGAAGCGCTCTTTGCCCGCCGAAGCGGGAGCGCGGTTGCGCTATTTGGACCACAGAAGCGGAGGTTTTTGTCTTGAGTTGAAGCCGAACCTGTGATGGTTTTTTCGCAAGTGCAGAGCCGCAAAAGCGGTTGTTGGTCCGCAAAGGCGAATACCGCTGGGCAGAAATAGTGAGTTTGAGGGTTTTTCATTCATCTTTTGACCTAGAGAGCTCGGTTTGTGGCGATTTTTAGAAGGATTTTCAAGAAAATCATCAGGGTAAGTGATTCTAACTCGGATTTGGCTATTATATGTGAATCCTTTGCCGTTTTTGTCTTTTAATCAGTGGTTTGAATTGGAAAATTTGGAGAAAATTTGTGAAACCTCATACACTGAATTTTGGGGATTTGAATGGCGATTTGTGGTCGGAATTGGATGATTTTGGTATGGTTGGACTCGTTGTTAAATGGGTGTTCGTCTTTTTGTATTTGTTGGATTCCGAGACGTGGTCCTGGGATTGACTTTTTGACTTTTGTTTAAGAACTTAGCTTTATCAAATGTAATTCATTCCTATAGCTTGTATTGATTGTATTAAGTTGTTTGTGGCCAGATTCGAGTCGTTCGGAGGTCGAGTCGCGAGGCAAGGGCTTGTTGGAGTAGAGGCTTGTGCAATTTGAGGTAAGTAACACTTCTAAACTTGGTACTAAGAGTATAAATCCCTAAATTACGTGTTATATGGTTGATGTTGAGGTGACGCAAATGCTAGGTGACGGGCGTGTGGGCGTGCACCGTTTTAATTGTGACTCGGTTGTTTCCGCGATACTATGTAGTTATCAAACCTCATTGCTAGCCGTGTAATCCCTACGTGTCAGAGTAATTGAGCTGCAATCTATGTTAGAAATCATTTTTAGGTTATGTTCTTACTTCGTTGGGACCCCCTGAGGTTATTTTTGCTGTCGAATTATTTGCTTAACTACAATTTTATACTCGGTCACATTCATTATTTACATATCATATCTCAGTCTCTGCCGAGGTCGTACGTTCCGATCCGAATAATATACTATGTGCACTGCCGAGGGTCGAACGACACGAACAATAGATGCATCTATTAACCTGCCGAGGCGAACGACCCGCTCCCATGAGAGTAGAGGAATTTACCTCGCTCGCGAAAATACTTGCGACGCGAGTGGACAACGATTTCTTAAAGTTATTATATAATTCTTCAATTCTTTCCAAAAATAAGAAATATAAACTGGAGACTTTAAATCTTAATATCCCCAATGTCAACTCTATTTAAGACAGTTAATATGCATAATCAACATAACAGTGCAAACAAAGCATGATGTAAATCTAAGACTACCCGGACATCACATGGAATATAGCTAAGTACGGACTCTCGTCACCTAGTGCGTACGCAGCTCCCCACAAAAGTAATTCACAACAAAATACACCTAAGGGGGTGAGTTCCCTCTTATAAGGTTAGGCAAGAGACTTACCTCGTTCTCCAACTCACTTTCGGTCCACAAATACGCTTTAAATCCTCAACTCGGGGCCAAACAACCCGAAACTAGCCAAATATTATATAAATAAGTCAATATATACTCAAAAGTTCGTACTTTAACTATTAAAGCAATTACCCAACCCCAAGTGGAAGATTCCTAAAATTCACCCCGGGCCCACGTGCTCGGCTTCCGGAAATTTTCGAAGATAATTGTTACCCATAACCTCACGAACTCAATTATATCATTTTCACCCAATTCCATAATCATTTTCGTGGTCAAACCCCATTTTTATCAAAACCTAGGCTTTTCAACTAAACCCATAATTTTTACAATTTTTCATGTTAAAATCCACCCATAATCTATGTATTTAACTTGCATTGGATAGAAATTACTTACCTCCAATAGCTAGGTGAAAACCCCTCTCCAAAAGCTTCAAAATCGCCCAAGAAGTGAAAGAAATGAGTCAAAAAATGCCTAAGTCCCGTATTAAATGATTCATTTTGCCTCCAGCGTTTTTGCATCTGCGGACTTGGGGCCGCATCTGCGGCGCCGCACCTGCGGAAAATCCATCACAGGTGTTGTCCTAGCCCAGCTTGGCTGGCTCCGCTTCTGTGAAAAATTGCTCGTTTCTGCGAGCCCGCGTCTGCGACGCACGTGTCGCACCTGCGACCTTAACCGCTTTTGCACTTTCCTTCCTCGGATATGCGCTTTCGCAGGTGCGATCCCTGCCCCGCTTCTGCGATCACTTGGCAGCTCTCACTTGGCCACTTCTGCGGTCGAGCTCGCACCTGCGGCTAGCCCTCCGCAAGTTCGATTGCACCAGAAGCCTGATGCTTCAGCCAATCCTTCCAAGTTAAAACGACTTCCGTGCATCGTCCGAATGTTACCCTGGGCCCCGTCTAAATATACTAACAAGTTCGTAATCGTAAAACAAACTCGCTCGAGCCCTCGGAATGAATAAAACAATATCAAAACGAAGTATCACCCTCCAAACCAAATCGAATCAACTTATGAACTTCAAGTTCTTCCAACTTACTCTAAAGTCTAAACGCGCCGAATCATACTTAAACTACTCGGAATGACACTAAATTTTGCGTGTAAGTCTTAAATCACCATACGGAACTATTCCCAGGCTCAAAATCCCAAACGGACCTCGATAACACCAAAACTTACTCCAAACCAAATTTAAAGAACTTTAAAACCTTCAATGAGCCAACTTTTGATATCCCGGGTCATCCCAAACCCGATCCAAACATACATCCAAGTCCAAAATTATCATACGAACCTATTGGAATCGTCAAATCCCGGTTCCGAGGTCGTTTACTAAAAATATTGACTCGAGTCAAACTTAGCCCTTTTTAGCCAATTTTAAGGAACTAAGTGTTCTGATTTCAACCCGAACCCTTCCAAACCCGAACTAATCATCCCCGCAAGTCATAAAACAAGTCTTTTTTAGGGAAACAGGGATCTAGAAAGTGAAAAGACCGATCGGATCGTTACAATATCCTAGATAGAAAACCTCCAGCACTTTCAGTCTAGCATACATGTATGACAACACAATCTGTTTTTTTTTTTATGGAAAAAAAAAGATTATTGTAATATATATAGCGATATGCATTACAAGGAGGGTTATGGATCTTCAAGCCTACATAGTTTGTGCAGAGTACCATCTGGCCATTACAATGAAATTTTCACGCCCCCTCCCT